AGAAGTCCGCCGCACTAATGGCCAATAGCAAAGTGTTTACCAAACCTGAAAGAAAAACGCCTGTTGTGAAAACGTACTGCCACGCGTTTATTATTTTAATGCCAGGGCTTACACCAGAAAGTCAGAAGCACACATAACGTCTTTATTTTAGAGCAAGAACGGAACATGGTGAAGATGGTGCCAATGGTACGACTTAGAAGTGTGTAGTACAGACACACGTACCTTCGGGTAACGAAAAAAAGGGATGTCGACGTCAGCTTTACGAACATGATGTTCCCAAGTCGTTCTTCGGTTGTCCATAGGAAACGAGAACACTCGCAGCTTCGGTCCCTTTGTAGGAACGATTTGCCGCGCATCGCCCAACCATTCGGATTTGCAGCCGTACAAATTGCGAATGTTCAGTGCACAAAACACATCACATTTCCACGCTGCAGTTTAGGGACTCAGAAAAGGACGGTCTTCTCGAGTCGCCAACAAGCACACCAGCAAGCCACGAAAACGTTCGTCAGGCTTGGCAATCCGTGTCTGTCGAGCGACGAGAGCGAGTGTAGGCACGTCTGTGAAGCGAAACACATTGGTCTTAACGGAGTGACGTCAGAGCCCGCTGCGGAAACAGTGAGCAGGCCTGAAATTGTAAAAGCGGAATTGCGATGATTCGTTTGTTCTTCGTATTTTCGCGAGTTGTTTAGGGGCCCATTAAAGCATCGGAACGATACCTTTTCCCTGTGGGGCAATGCCACGCACATTCTCTTCTATATCATATGTTACTGGCCCATCGCACGTATAGATATTGCCTTGGACAAACCGTGACAGAATGTCTTTGCAGAAAACCAGGTTATGTAAGGATCATCAGTTAGAATTGAGATGGATTCATTCTCGTACAAACGCGGCCACAAGTGATAACACTCGAATGTTCGGCGCCGCATGTATAAATGCTGATGCGAAGAGCCGCGGACCAGATTACCGAAAGCCCGTGCTCCATTCACAGATATACTCGAGTGTACAGTCTGCACAGCGTGCCCGAGTTTGAGTTTCCATTTCTAGATAGCAAGTTATGGGGATATTTATAATATCATTAAAAATATGCTCATGCAGATCACTTATGTAATATTTCATCCTAAATAGTAATGCAATCTTTCATTTATTCATGTTTCCTTTTCATAATAGGAGTTTTCTTCAAAGTTGTGCCTTTTCTAAAAATTGTTATTGTGCTTTACACTTTTTTTTGTTAGACCCCCACTAGTCTATGGCTATAAGTCTAATCGGTGTTGTAAATTTACAAGAACTGTATTTTTTTGAAGCAACATCACTGAGGCCTTCAAGTTCTTGAAGTTGGGCCAAATTAAAAGTTTCACCTTAGACAAGCCGACTGCTGTCTTTGTCAACGTGAGGGTCCCGAGACAATTCTATTTCAATAGTTCTTCAAGCTGGTGCCGCAATTTTTTAGCGATCTGGCAAAGTCTAGCCATCCTCCCGTATGTGTTGGTGCGTGCGGTATTAAGAGAAACTGCTCATCAGTAGCCAAACAGAAAAACGCGGTTGATCCCTACGTGATAGCAATCAATATACCAAAAAATTCAAACGTTTTCTTACGGAAAGAATTAAATGTTTATGTACAATGCTAGAAGACAGCTTGCACGGCAAGAAACTGGTGCTAAAAATACTTACGCTGATGATTCTATGATTTCATCACAACTTGCCGTGCACTCTAGGATTAGGACATCTGTCCTTAAAAATTGCAAATAAAGTTAGGGCATTTTCCAATTCACAAATACAACGCAGTTTTTATGCGCATTATTCAGGTGATTTTACAAAGTGGCGCGTTTTGCTAATAGAGACGTGAGGATCTACCATAAGCTTTAATAATATATTCGGAATGTATACAAAGCGTTCCAGGAAATGCTGAGATGTTAGTGCACTTGCATTCTGTAAATATTTCATCTAACAGCTAGTCACCAGGAATTATGCGGCCGTATATTCCGATTCGCTTGAAGTGCTGGCCCGATCAAACACCGCCTCACAAGCGGTAAGTTTAACTTACGTGGGAGGACTATTATAACAACCGTTTGCCGAACGATTGAAATTCAAAATCATCGTTGGAATGGTTTCGATGGTGCTCTTAGCGACATGACCCACGTATTAGTTAAACAGTGTTCGCCTCAACGAGACAGCGTCTGGTCTCGAAGGTCATATCGACATACAAGTTAATGAAGCTCGGGTGCAGTTGTTACAGCGCCGTTGCTACGTTGCTGCACGAAGTTTTGCAATAAACCTCAACTCGTTTTTTAGGGAAACAAAGCCCCGAAATTAGTGTGATGAAAGCGTCAAACTTCATTACGAGTGAGATATTACATAAAAAAGTCACAGCTTTACCGCAAAGGCGAAGCAATGAACGCAATAGCAACAAATTGGAAGGTCACGCGCAGAATGGCAAGCAGATTGAAACGTGCCGCGCGTTTCTCGCGCTCAAAGAACGCACGAAACGTACTCACAGGTACAGATTAACGCGAATAAACGTCTCAGTTGTTTCTTCGCTTTGTCTGAAAAGCGCGCCCTTTTCGCAAACGAAGGCTGTGCAACAATTGCAGTGACTTTTGTGCGCCTGGTAAGTATAACAGAATCGTTCCGAGGAAACTCAAAGGCTAGTCAAGACGTTCGATAAGAGCACGCGTTCGAGCGTATACAGTACAGCACCTCATTCTCTACGCGGGCCAAAGTACGAGTGAGAGATGAGAGCCGCCGTGCGCTCACTGCGCCATCTTGCTGATAATGCTGAAAACACGATATTATCCACCGAGATGCCCGCCAAAGCGGTAAGTGGTAGATATGAATAGCTTACCGTTTGACCTCTCAGTGGCTCAGAGCTCAGTACCTCTCAGTGGCTTAGTGGTTAACGCCCCGCATTCATGATGCGGAGGTCCCACGTTCAAATCCGTGCTCCGGAGTCTAATTTTCTCGAATTTTTTTCTTTCTTGCGTTTTCATATATATAGACACGTATGCATATACAGTGCATGACATCGATGCTGACGCCGACGCTCCCGCCAACGCTGGCGGCGAAATCCAGCCGAGAGTGTTCATATAATTGCTATAGCAATAAAAAAACCGATACAACAGCTACAGCTACGATTGAATTTTCAGTCATGCACTTTGCAGATGCCTTGCGAGCCTCACTACTGCATGGGTTTCGCAACAGTGCGTAGAGCTTGGTACACAGGCGAAAAAAAAAAATACTGCGGCCAGATAGTAACATGTGTCCGATACAAATACAGCTTTCGGAAGTGAGGGCATCATATATGAAAAAAAAAAACCGCTCGGGAAGAAAGGGCTGTAATGATGTAAACTACACTGTGATATATGTAAAAATCCCGGCTTGAATGCGGGACACGCTGTAGAATAACTCTGTATCATAGCACAAACATGCCCTTGCTTTTCACTCATGTCTGTATGCAGCTGCCGCGGCCGAGAATCGAACCATTCCTCGAGTTTACCAGCACGAGAACACAAACTGATGGAAGTGTATGGTGGAGCACGGTAACCATTGGTGATTTACTGAACAAAGCTTTTTGGCTGTTTCACTAGGAGCATTATGTTTCGTCATTCATTTGAAGCTAGAGTCAAGTGAAAAACAACCGCAAAGAGCGTAACAGCGTACGATGCCAGCGCATGTCATAGTAGGCGCGCCATGGCAGGCCTCGAAGCATACTTGCCGTGACGTCATCTCACCAGGCAGCGCCACCCCAACCTTTCGGGGCTAATAGGCAGGCGTACAACGCAAATCAATGCCGTGGGCGCAGTGAATGCTTGTGCTAAGGTGGCCACCTAGCGGTGTGTTAAAGGGCCAGCAAACAGGCTCCGACTCTTTTTTTACACCCCCTTACAAGCTCGGCAATTCGTAGATTAGACCACAGCGATCACGTTTTCTGAATTTTACAGCGCTGCGCCCCGCGCCCCGCGCAGAACCTCTATTTCGAAAAACGATTCCCGCGCTTCTTTCCTACGCCTGTCCGACCCCTTTGCACGCGCAGTGACGTCAACTCAGCGATCGGCGACGTGACGTAGCACGCAGCTCGCCGAATAGTCTAAATGAGGTGTGAAAAACAGTAGTGAAGTCAACATCAGTTCCTGCTCCCACGAACAGCTACGAAACTGGCCCTTGTTTCTTTTGGCACTGTGGTGAAAGAACCAGCCTCGCAGTTGTCGCGTGCACGTGTACACTCCTCGCTCAACCAAAGCGCCTGTGCGCACATACGAACATACTTTCACCCGTCAGATGAGCAACACGGGTAAAAAGCGTCGCTCTGTCGTCGGCTGCGAATCGAGCGACTGGGCAGCGGAGAAGCATCGGCACCGGGTGCCTCATGATGGGGCCCAGCCCGCTGCATAGCTGAAGCCAATCTGCCATCCAGCGACGTACGTCGGGGACCTGATCGTTTGTGGTCGACATTTCGCACGAGACGCTTACGCGGTTGACTCGCGGCTGGTGCGGCCAACGGTAAACAAACAACCACGCTTCGCAGCAAGCGGAAGTGCGTTGCGACTGATCGAGCACGTCAATGACGTCAATCGCTGACGTGGCGTCACGTTGCCGAACTGAGCGGTAGTGGTTAGAAGATGAGAAAAGGCACCTAATTTCTGCAACCCGGTCGGGAGCACGGCGCGGTGCCCGAAGTGAGCGGAGTCACCGACTATGGGCTACGCCTTTCCCTCCATGGAAGGCAGAAGAGGGGCGAAGCCGCGCGAAAATTTGAAACCAGCTTAGACCGATGTTATAAACCCCATAACATCTTTCAGACTTTGCACAGTACATTCATACCGTGTACTAACATTCGGTTAACCTCCCTGCTTTCCTTCTTTTTCTAATTTATCTTTTGCACAGTACAAAATGCAAGAGCCATAAGTATTATTGCTTTATTACTTCAAAAATATGCTAAAATGACAAGAATTCGCTGCTCACGTTTGATAAGAAGCAGCGCTAAGGTGTAGATTCGCTAGGAATTATCAAGCACTACGTCCCGAGAATAGTTCGGGAAGTTTTTTCAGTGGACCAAACCACGAAGATTTTTCGTCATCGTCAGGCTTGCTGTTTTGTTCTTCACTAGAAGATGAGCCAGATTCTGAGGTCGTCCCGTTGGAGTCTGCCTCCTCTTCATGCTTTCCATCTCGGCTACCACTGTTTTCATCGGTCATGCTTGAACCAGATTCCGCAGTAGTCTCGTTTGAACCTTCTTTTTCTTCTTTCTCTTCATCCTTGTTGCCATCGTTTGCTTCGGTTGAGATTGAGCCAGATTTGGTAATGGTCTCCCCGGAGTCAGCCTCGTCTTCACGCTCTTCACCTTGCCTTCCACTCTTTATTTCAGTTGTAGTTGAGCCTGATTCTGTCGTCATCTCATAAAAGACTTCATCTTTGCGCTCTTCATCTTGGCTGCCACTGTTGGCTTTGCCTGAGGATGAGCTAGATTTTGTAGGAGTTTCGTTGGAGTCTTCCTGCTCTTCATGCTCCTCATCTTGGCTCCCACCGTTTTTTTCGGTTTCGATTGAGCCAGCTTCTGTAGTTTTGTTGGAGTCTTCCTCCGTTTTCTGCTCTTGGCTTCCACTGCTTGCTTCAGACCAATTTGCGTCAGTTTCTGCAGCTTCGCTGGTGGATTGCTGCTCTTCGTTCCATTTATCTTGGCTTTCACTGTTTTCTTCGGTTTCGGTTGGGTCACTTTCTGTAGTTTCGTTGCAGTCTTCATCCGTTTCGGGCTCTTCATCTTGGCTTTCACTGTCGGATTCAGTCGTGTTTGGGCCAAATTCCGTACTTACGTTCTCGGAGTTCTGCTCTTCATTCCCTTCCTCTTGGCTTCCACCGTTTTCTTCAGTTATGGTTGAGCCTGATGGTTTAGTTTTCTTGGAGTCTTTGTCCTCGTCATCTTGGTCTCCACTGTTTTCTTCGGTTGTCGTTGAACCACATTCGGTCGTTTCATTGGCGTCTTTGTCATCTTCGTGCTGGTCATCTTGGCTTCCACTGTTTTCTTCGGTTTTGGTTGAGCCAGCTTCTGTTGTTTTGTTGCAGTCTTTGTCCGTTCCATGCTCTTCATCTTGGCTTCCACTGTTGGCTTCAGTCAAGTTTGAACCAGTTTCTGCAGCTTCGTTGGTTGATTGCTGCTCTTCGTTCCATTCATTTTGGCTTCCACTGTTTTCTTCGGTTTCGGTTGAGCCAGCTTCTGTTGTTTCGTTGCAGTCTTCATCTGTTTCGGGCTCTTCATCTTGGCTTTCACTGTCGGATTCGGTCGTGTTTGGGCCAAATTCCGTACTTACGTTCTTGGAGTTCTGCTCTCCATTTCCTTCATCTTGGTCTCCACTGTTTTCTTCGGTTATGGTTGAGTCAGATGGTTTATTTTTCTTGGAGTCTTTGTCCTCGCCATCTTCGCCTCCACTGTTTTCTTTGGTTGTCGTTGAGCCAAATTCGGTCATTTCATTGGTGTCTTCGTCATCTTCGTGCTGATCATCTTGGCTTTCGCTGTTTTCTTCTGTTTTGTTTGAGCCAGATGGTTTAGTTTTCTGGGATTCATCGTCCTCTTCCTGCTCGTCGTCTTCGTTTCTACTGTTTTCTTCGGTTTTGGTTGAGCCAGCTTCTGTTGTTTTGTTACAGTCTTCGTCTGTTTCGTGCTCTTCATCTTGGCTTCCACTGTTGTCTTCGGTCAAGTTCGAACCATTTTCTGCAGCTTCGTTGGTGGATTGCTGCTCTTCGTTACATTCATTTTGGCTTTCACTGTTTTCTTCAGTTTCAGTTGAGCCAGCTTCTGTTGTTTCGTTGCAGTCTTCATCCGTTTCCAGCTCTTCATCTTTGCTTCCACTGTTGGCTTCGGCCGTGTTCGAGCCAGATTCTGTACCTACGTTGTCGGAGTTCTGCTCTCCATTCCCTTTATCTTGGCTTCCACTGTTTTTTTCGCTTATGGTTGAGCCAGATGGATTAGCTTTCTTGGATTCTTTATCCACTCCCTGCTCGTTGTCTTGGTTTCCAGAGTTTTCTTCGGTTATAGTTGAGCCTGATTGTTTAGTCTCGTTGGATTCCTCTTCCTCTTCATGGACTTCATCTTGGCTTCCAACGTCTTGATCGGTTGAGGTTGAGCCCGAGTCTGTAGTCTCCTCATTGCAGTCGTCTTCCTCTTCGCGCTCTTTATCAATGCTGCCACTATTTGCATTGGTGGAGACTGTGCCAGGTTCTGCAGTCATTGCGTTGAAGTGTTCTTCATCTTCTTCGTTCTGTTCATCTTGACTGCCACTGTTGGCTTCAGCTGAGATTAGGCCACATTCTGTAGTAGTTTCGGTGCTTTTTTCTCCTTGTTCGTGCTCATCATTTTGACTTTCAATGCTTTCTTCGGTTGAGGTCAGGCCAGAAACATTAGTTTCGTTGGAGTGTTCGTCCTCTTCGTGGACTTTGTCTTGGCTGTCACTGTCGGCTCCGCTTGAGTTTGTGCCGGATTTCATGGTTTGTTTAGAGTCTTCGGCCTCTGCAAGCTCCTCAACTTGGCTTGCACTGTCTGCTGCGGGTGTGGTTGAGCCTGATTCTGCATTCGCCTCATCGCAGTCTTCCTCCTGGTCATTTACTTCGTCCTGGTGGCTGTTGCTGCTTCCTTTCAATGTTGATGTGGTCGTCTCTGCATCACTTCTGCTACTTTCAATTAAACGTGTTGGCTTTCGAGAGCCTCCACCAGCGAGCTCATTTTCGTCTGGTTCAGAGTGTTCAGACGATTTTCGCTCATGTGGCGCGGTATGGCCTGAAATTCGAAGGAAGAAACGTTTTAAAATAAGCTCTATATTTAGCACAAAATATATAGCAGGCTCAGCATTAGGGTAAATAAACAAATACATCAGCTCACAGACATTGAAAGCTATCAATCACAACATTTGTTAAACTTAGTGCCACTTGGTAAGAATGGTTCTGCAACTTTAAGGCACGAAACATAACGAACGTGTACAATGAACTTCTTAATATATTGACAACTTTTCTGCTTATCAATTGTACTGGCAATGATTTTCCTCATCGTAATATAACCGAAGCAGTTAGAGTGTTGTTCGTTATTATAGTAAGATGTTATTACCTTTTTACACACCACAGATTAAAAAAAAAACATGCTTACAATCAAAGTCCTATCACCTTTTCTCCTCTCGTTTCATAGACGGCGTTGGTCCAGTGGAAATGTGTGAAACTGGACGGACAAACGTACGCACGGACGGACGGACGGAAGCATGGAAGTATTCCTGGGCGAGCGGACGGACGGACAGAAGCATGAACAGATGGATGAAAGGATGCTCGGAGAGACGCATGGATGGACGAACGAACGCAGGGACGGACAGACGGATGGATGCTTCGCACCACTCATCATCCTTCACTGCATGAATATTCTCTGAATTTTATAGTTGATACAGAACAGTGGTTATTTATTGTACAGGGCCTCACTCTGTTTGATATACGCGCATCATAAGACGCTGCTGGCGCGTTCATAATCGATCGTGAAGCCTTGTATAATTCCATGACGAACGATCACAGTCGTGTATCAACTAAAGAACTTTTGAAAGCTGGTCGAGCAGTGGCGCGTAAGCACGCGTATATTTAATAGTTAACGTGTTTTATGCGCTTGCATCTTTTTCAAACAAACAAAAAAAGCCTCCAGGCCTGCGCGGAATGCGTAGCAATCATAACAGCAAAAGCAGGAAGAGTAGCCTTTGAGAGACATTTCAAAACTATATTTCGGCAACTGCTACAAGGACACTTGCAGGGTATCCACTATGCCATAAATATTCATAATTTTTATGTAGTAGGGAGGAAATCATGACGCTATCCTGCGTCAGTCTTCGAAGAAGTGTGGCACCCAATACTGCCTTGGAAGGAATTCTGTGCAGTTCTTTTTTTATTGTGTGGCTGACGATGGCGAAGATTTATATCTGAGCCTTTTGTAATGGATTGGAGCATTCGATAGCCTACTCGTTACGCAATTCGCATTGTATGTCGCCTGGTTATTTCTTTTGCTGTTCTGAAACGCGCTATTCTCATATTAACGCGTTTCTTTTCTCTACGTCAAGCCTGCCTAAGGCCAGTTTGCATCGCGCCTTCCTAAGCACCAGCGTAGCTCAGTGGTAGACTACTCGGGTGGTACGCAGGTAGTCTAGTTCAAATGCCATACGGTCCTTACTGTGTTTTGTTGACGAAGGTTTTTTTTCTAATTTTGCGTGGTGGTGGTTACGGACACCTGCCACGCAAAACTGCGGCACACGTGAACTCTGTTATGATCTCATAACAGCCTACACTGTAAACAAGACACTTGCGAAGCTTCTTCGCCTAGGAGTCTCACTTCCGCCGCTTCATCAGATGTGTGGCCATTACACAAGCTGATGACGTCAGACACAGCATTCACTTGAACGAACGGCTATACAGGCAAGTTATATTCTTATGCTTTGGGCCGAGGCTCTATAGAATGAACGCACGACTAGAAGTTTTTGGAAGTCATTCTGTTGCATCGCGATGCACCTTGCGGGCTCGTGAGTGGTTGCTGCGAGACTTTCTGCTAAGGATGCTTAAAGAAGTACTGAGAATTTGGGGCACAGTTCACAAAATGGCATGTGCCTACAACCCCCAAACTGGCGTATAAACTGCATGGTTGCACTAGCCGGCTCGATATCAGTTCACATTGAACTAAACCACCATAACTAGGACGTTTCTGTCAATTGTGTGAAATGCCGCCATCGTACAAAATACCAGGCAATCACTTTTCTGCATCGTCTGTCCTCATTTCACTAACAATCGCCATCGTCTTTCTTCAATGTACTAACGAAAACATCTAAGACTAAATCTGATGAGCTTGTCTCTAGAAGGAATAAATGTTGTCAACGCAATCCCCTCAGCACAACTCTTCCATTTCTATATTTGTAAAACTTTGAACCACTCATTTTCACCTGCGGCCAATAGCAGTCGCGTCTTCATTAACGACTAGCGACCAAACAACAGTTGAAGGTGATCGATGATCATCCTACTGGCTAGTGTGATGTAACAATTTTTCCACTGAATTTACGTCTGCTCGTAGCGCCCTTTTTTTAGAAAATGAACGGACCATTTCATTCTGCGCATCCTATTGGTTGAAAGACTCGTGACTGCTGTTTGTGCAGAACAAAATGAAACAGTGAGTGAATGAACTGGAGCTTTCTGCTTAAAGCAGCATCTACGACTAGTTCTAGATGACAATAAAATAAAATCTTTAGAATGGAATAACGGCGCAGCTTTAATGTACCCTCAAACGTCTGAAGAAATGGGAGCAAAGCAATATAACAACGCATTTGTAGTTTTTTCCTATTCGTGTTTTATTTTTTCTATGTGTGGTACGTGTTGCTAGAGCTATAGGTGCCATCTTGCTACAAGTATAAAATGAGTGGGCTGTTGATTGGTATGTGGGGTTGAACGTCCCAAATCTACCATATAATTTTGAGAGACACCGTAGTGGAGGAGTCCACAAATTTTGATCACTGGGGTTCTTTAACGTGCACCCAAATCTGAGCACATGGGCCTGAAGCATTTTCACCTCCATCAAAAATGCAGCCGCCACAGCTGGAACTTGACCCAATGACCTGCGGGTCAGCAGCCGAGTACCTTAGCCACTAGACCACCACGATGGGGCTGAGTGGGTTGCTGATCTCTACCTATTGAGATTGTGAGAATTTTATGAATAAGTATTCCTGTACCTGATGAGCACAGTGGCGTCCGAAGACATTTCAAATGATACCTTCAACATGTCGTACATCATTACCTGCTCCTAAATAGCGTTGCTTAGTGTACCTGGATTTCCATCAATTGATAAATAAACGAAATGTGCAGCTGTAGTAATTAATATTAATTATCTAGAAACCAAACCAGCAGCTAACCTAAGTTCAGGAGAACGAATGCGGCCAGGGCGACGAAGACGAGCCGGGGTCTCATTTCTCCTTCAGTAGGACCTGAAATGAAGACGCATGATACTGTTCACGTGACCATTTTATTAAGACGCACTGTTTCACTTTGAAATCGATCTGCGTGCACCATCTAAAGGTAGGCGAAAAGCAATGCTGAACACCAAATTTGAAACGCAATACAACTGTCATTTGATATATCTCATGCTTCAAAAGTACACCCCATGAAATGCTGGATGGTAAGTCGTACGTCATGGGGTGTACTGTAGGTCGCAGTTGGGCTCAGTAGAGATAAGAAAAAAACAGCATTTTAGCGATTCAAAATTCACTGAACCAATTTTCGCAACAGCCTAACCAGTTGTATTTCAGAAGTTGCACGTGCCGACATCCTTACTTGAGTATTCGATGCACGTATCCGCGCAATAATTGCGCAGTGCAGTAGCTTTGTTAGAGGACCAATCCACGAAACGCAATGTTGTGCCTGAATAATGCGCATTCTCTGTAGGAGCCAAGCTTGGTGTGTTTAAGCGAGCGAGCCTTTGTATGGATGCAAGAACACGTTATAGCGACAGTCTTGCAGTCAAAATTTGGAATATTAATTTCTTTTCACAACCACTTTTGCTCATGTAGGAGACCCTTCATGTCAACTGATTGTGAAGTGGAGAAAGCGGGTGTGGTTGGAGAGATATTTAGCCCGCGATTTCGTGAAAGGAGTGAAATCGAACGTAATGTAAAAGGTAGAACAATTACGCAAACGAGTGGCTATCGAAGGTGTACCAAATGTGTGTGTGGTGTCTCTTCTGTGGTAATTTGTTTACATTGTTGCAGTACGTTTAACTGGGAACCAAATTGCGTAGAAGGAAGTATTGTCGATGTGCATACCTTAAGCTGCAGATAATATGCTTTTCTTCCCAGTACATACAATTGTGATTCACATGCGAGTAACTTTAGACAAATACATATAAAGTGCCTGTGATGTTATGTAAGATTTAGGTTAACGCAAAGGTGCGTACCCATTCTCATATTAAAAAAGCATGCTTGTTTTACTGAATGTTTGATTTCGTAAATACGTTAAATAGGCATACTTAGAGTGCTAGAAGCGGTAAAAAAAGCTTAGGGCACCTAAGCGTTACTCAGGTTACCTCACCGGTCGCCGTTCCGAGAGTATCCCTTTTCACGCTCCCAGTGTGTGCTTCTCAATAGGGTATTCGTGAATTCTGCTTACACACTGTGCTCAATCAAGACCCAATGGTTCTTAGTTGAGCATGTGCGAGCCGCGGCCAACATCCATGAGCCCGAGTAAAGGAGTGCCCAACTAGTGTTTGTAGAGGGTGGTCCCATAAGGACCACTTCGCCCCTCTCTGTACATAACACACACAATAAATGTTTTTTATCATCCTCATTATCATTATCATTATCTCGTTCACCTCTCAATTTCTTCAATACAGGACTATCTTTGAACGCTATGCTGGCGAAGAAAGTAAAACAAACGTGTCTACAGTAAATGTCTAAGAGAAGCAGTTAGCAGAGTAACCATGCAAGGCTTCCGAATAACAACAAAATTTTAATTGGTGAATTTGTAGGCATCGCATTTCACATTTTAACCTAATTGTTTCATTGAAATCCGAATAATTATGGCACGATTATCTAATATATGATTATCTTGAGTTATTTAGAGGTAGATGTGTGCCGGTGGCATGTATTGATACGCACTACGTCCTACGTGATTCCTGGTTTTTCATAATAGAGGCATTAAAACATATGAGCGTGTGTTCACGTGTGCGTTACTGAACTCATGTAAGTCATAATCAACGTAGATTTCAAGCTACAGCGCGACTCGGCAAGTCGTATTGTCGAATGTGCTCATTAACTAAGTGAGTACGATCTTTAGCAGCCCTGAGGGCCACGAGGGTTTAAGAAGGCAACATTTATTCATTAAAGATTTTAACCAACCGATAACACACTCTAGCACCAATGATAAGTGTCATCAATAGCCATTTAAAACCTTGAACATCAACACGTTTTCGGCTTGAATACACGAGCCATTGGGAGACTGTTAAATATTAGCAGTGATACTCACCTCGAGCACTGAAGAATGCTATGTAGGATGCGTGTTGCATTATAGAATCGTCTGCCTTTTATACAGGTTTCATAGGATGGCGTGGGACTCGAAAAACTTCTACCAAAAAGAAAACAAAACACACACACACACACTAAACTACTTCCTTCAACTACATCACGAAGCATCACCGAATTGCAGAGATGCTCCATTAAGCAAGCATGACGTCAAGTTAGCCACTCAGTCAGGTACCATGAATCCTACAGCAGCCAGTACATCACAGTTTCATGCAGTAAGGCAAGTGCTCATCGCGAACGTTACGGTTGCTGCAAAATGGTACATGACAAGGTATTTTGACAATGAAGCATTAGCCTCACACCATGCCTCATTTTGAATAAATAAAATCGAGCACTGTTCGTGTACATGGGAAAGCTGTGGATTGACACAGAATCATGTTGCAATACACACGACGCACAGTAACTTGTTCCTTATTGCTTCGCAGAAGAAAGCAATGTGTATTTTATAGTATTAGCGCATTGTTCATGTTGGCTGAAAATATAGCTTAGAATCTTTGCGTGGCAAGAAAGAGAATTCCACGCGTGGGGTCACTAACCGGAGTTATTGGATATCTCATACGTGTGATGAGACCGACAACACTCCCAAGACAAAATAAATTGTTTGATGACATTTAAACTCTACGCACCACTCTACACTCTACGCCACAAATCTACACGACGCCACGACATGTAACCACGGTAATGCCGCCATTGTGCCGAGTTGATCTGGCCGATAAAACGTTTTCTCCACACATTTCAGCAGGAGCACGACATTATCGACTCCGAAGTTTTTGGGTAGCTCCGCCCATCGCGCAACACACTCCCAGTACGTGTTTGCTCTAGGGGCGAAGCTCCGAAAGTGGTGGGTCGTGTAGTAGTAGTACTAGAAGTAGTAGTAGTAGTAGTAGTAGTAGTAGTAGTAGTAGTAGTGCGTTGTAGTAGCGGGTAGCCACCTCCACGGCCGGACTAAAGGAGCGGCACGTGTGCACTCTTTTGAATTGAGGAGAAAAACCGCACACGTTAATCATGAATAAAACGATTGTTGTTTCTCATGAAACAACTTAGAGGCGAGTATCGGTGACTTAATCTTTAATAAAACGTGCCTTGAATTTGATGCTTACTAAAAAATCACAGCATATTCACAGAATAAATGATGATGAGTGGTGCGAGGCGTCCGTCACCCCGTCGGTGCTTCCATCCGTCCGTCCGTTCCTGCTTCCGTCCGTCCGCGCGACCATACGCATGTCCATCCATGCGTCCGTTCGTCTGTCCGTCCGTAGGTCCGCGCATCCATCCATCTGTCCGTCCATATTCTAGTCTGTCTGTCCGTCCGTCTGCGCGTCCATCTAGTGAACACTCTAAGTACCGCCATCTTGCATCTCGCATCCCCTGTGACAAATGACCGCTCCGTGCGTACGTCCTTCCGTCCGTCCATCTGCTATTATGTAGGTTCATCCATCTATGCGTCCATCCATGTGTCTCTCTAGTGAACACTCCAAGTACCGCCATCTCCAATCTCGCATCCCGTGTGGCACATGTCCGCTCTAGAGCGGGTATGTACCACTGGTGGCTACGTATGACAACGACGGAGGAAGGACAGACCCACACATTAAAGAACTTCGCCCCCTGAAAAACTAGTATCAGAACAACGCACTTTGAGCCCTATCTAATCTGAAAGGTTGCCACGTTAAACTCGCTCGGCGTAACTTCCTAGGTTTGAGCAAGGTTTAACGAGGGTAGGGCCGCAGTGCCATGAACTAGCCGGGGCGAAAGGTGTGAAATAGACGCAAAGTGCAGGCTGTAAGAGAGTGCGCGTGTGCCGCTCCTCAAGTCCGGCCGTGCCACCTCTCATTTACCCTTCAAATGTCCGCTGGTTGGTGGGGCTTTTATATGATGAATATATGATGAAAAGATGCGGGCTGGCGGTACTTAGAGTATTCACTAGATGGATGGACTGATGGACAGACGCACGGACAGACAGACAGACAGACAGACAGACAGACAGACAAACAGACAGACAGACAGACAGACAGACGGACAGATGCACGTACGGATGCATGGACAGATGTATGGGTGGCTGCAGGGATGACCGCATGGACGGACGCACAGCCAGATGGACGCACGGACAGACGGTTGCACAAACGGACGCACGGGCGGACGGAAGCGTGGACGGACTGACGGATGCTTCGCCCTACTCATCATCATGGAGCCCGTGGATACGCTGCGATTTTTCATATAGGCTATGAAATTCTGTGTACATCCAGGCGAGAATCTAGCTGGAAGAATTTGTTTTCAAAGATATATGGAAGATCGTTGGCTATCCGACGCCAAAAGAGACGATACAGGCCCCTGCCATCTTTGTGAGGACCCCACGAATCGCAACGCGGGCATGATACGTGCGCTTGGTGAGTTCAACTTTGATTGCCTGCATCATTATTACAGTGAGAGTTGTATGCGAATCGGAAAAACAAAACTCTGTCCGGCAGCGGGGTCACGAGTGGTCTCCATTGTCTGCGCTATTAGTTACGTCATTCTAAACGTCCTATCAAAGCTCGCGCACCATTCGCTACGTTCTTAGTGACGTCGCCCCTGTCGTCGCAGCCATGGCGCTGAGCCCAGACGCATAAGTTTCTCCTGAAACATTCCACATGGGTATGCCACGGACAACTCTAGGAGAGCCCCGTCGGGGCGAAAGTGAGAGAGCCCGCATTCGTCGGGCCATTGGTGCTGTCCTGGCACAAAAGCAGGCCCGAAAGGCAAGTGGCAGCAGCAACTGCGTACCCATGATAGAGTGTACTAGAAGTGTTGAGGGGCACGACCGCGGTGGTGCCGCCTGATGCCTTCCGCGTTGCCCGTAGTGGCCGGGATCTACGACGGAAAACTTTTGGTCTGTCTGTCTGTCTGTCTGTCTGTCTG